CCTTAATTCTTAACCAGTGATTATCACCTAAGAAGATGAAAAATCGGCCAAATATGAGGATGCTCGTCTAAAGATAGAGGCGGATTAATCGCATAGAATTATTAGCAAGCCATACAACGCTACACTAAAGTGGAGAAGCAACAAAATCGGCTTCCTGAAAACCCCAAACATCCAACCAATAGCCAAGCTAATCATGTTACAAGCGTAATATGGGATAAAAACGAAAGGAACAATATAATACAGTATAGGTCTAAAAATATGATAAAAAAGTAATTTTATTCTAGAGTTTTTACTATAGAATCAAGTAAGCAAAGGCGTACTAAAGTAATCGTTACAGTATAGCATTTTTATGTTATGGAATAACAACTAAATACTTTGACTAATTAAATTCCTATAACCTTAATACAATTGCTAATACTAAAATGTGGAAAAAAGTTCGCCAAAACTAAAAAAGATAATTTGAAACATACAAATCAAAGATAAATTTAAAAGGAATCGTTTTTTAGCAAATCCATCTCACTTGTAAACCTCCATAATTGTACTGAGTTCGCATTAGGAGCGTCCAAAATTCCTTAAATGAAATGGGATAAAATGAAATTGGCGATGGTTAAAATTTAGTTTGAGAATATACTGATGAATATGTCTGATCTATAGTATGTAGATGCAAACTATTAAAAATATTCCAAAGATCTAGTGCTTATAAGCAGTTAACTACAACACAAAATGTAGTTTTACAGTTCAGTAAACAGCGTGAATTTAAAAAGCATATGCGCATATAACTCCTTTGGCTAATTTAAACATTTTGATTATTCCTTAAGACACTGTATCATATTGTTTTCAATTCATATCTAGTAAGTTTCAAGGGATCGTAACTATTAAAATTCATAAAAATAAAGACATATATAAAATAAAAATCTGAAAAATACAGACAAAAGTCGTGCAATAAAAAAATAAGTGTGCATCAATATGTAAACTCTATAAAAGATTGTTTTTCTAAAGCTTTCAAAGTGTAGTAATGAATATAGTCTAATAATTAAAAAATATTGGAATATAATAAAATGATGAAGCAATGATTATATAATAATATAATAAAATCAAATATAACTTTATATGTCATCAACAAATTATGATAAAAAGTAACGATTTACTAATTAATAGCTAATGTTAAGAAATCGAAATTTTTATTTATGCAATACCACAAAGGCATGTAAAGTCAAAATATTCGAAATAAAATGTTATACTAAATATTTTAATTATACAAAAAGTAAATAATAATAGTTTACGCAATATTTATTATCCCTCTGAATAAATAAAATTCATCAACGTAATGCAATTAAGAATACAATAACCTCCATGTTTGATATAAGGAAAAGTTAATAAAACTTTAACAACCGGAAAGCAACCCTTTTTTTATTAAAATTGAGTTAAATAATTGTAATACTTAAATATTTAAAAATATAAACATGATAGAAAGCGCTTTTAAATAGTAATAAACTGCCAGAGAAATATAATATATCGTACGTATTTTTAACGAAGGTTTGAAACAGCCACTATTGTTTTTACTAGAACAAACAAAAATAAGAAAATTAAAAAATAAAAATAAATTTTAATTAGTATTTTTATAATAATTTATATCTTATTTATAATTGTATTTTAGTTGTTATTTTATTGTTTATAATTTTTTAAACTATTATCAAATATAATTTTTGTTTTTTAGAGTTTTAATTTGTTTTTTTTGTTTGTTACTCTGTTTTATTCAATTTACGATGTGTGATGCTGTCCTCGATGTCGATCACTTTCCCTCACCAATTGATCCATCCCATCACAATCTTACTCATGATGGCACTGGTGATATTGTTTCAGAATTCTTAAACAAGCGTCTCAGGGATGATTTTATTCTTAAGAATGATTCTCAATCGCCTCTACCCCCTCAGTATATATGATTTTATAACATTTTTCAAGATATCAGCAGGTTATCCGCAAGCTAACTGAAATTGCCGACGATATGGAGGAACGCTATGGTAATCTTATTAATGACCAAGCGAATTCATGGCTCTCATCTGGCGATTTTGATACTTTTGTTGATATTGCCAAAGGGTTTGTCCTTATTTCCTCCAATTCCGCATAGTATTTTCCAAGATAGACCTATCACTTGGTCTCGAATAGTTGTTCTTTTCATGTTTGCAACAAAAATTATTGCGAATGCTATTGCTAAGCATATAGGTGATCTCGCCCAAATGATCGTGTCTCATGTCGTGAAATTTCTTTTTATTCACGGCATACTAGGTTGGGTTAGAAAACGAGGTGGCTGGGTAAGTTTATAATTAACACTTGATTTCTTTTATTCTTTTAGCTTGCTGTTCTATATGAATACCATCCTGCTACAAGTGCTACGGGTTGCATCGCTTTTTTCAGTCTTTTGGCTTGCGTTACTCTTGCTACTATGATGGTAAAAAAAGGCTAAATTTATCTATAATTTCTACTTGATCTAAGTTCATCCAAATCTGGTCATAACATTAATCGTCTTTCAGCTAGAACGAATGAGTGAATTCGGACAGTGTTTACGCTTTAATGGCATTTGTACTATATTTGAGCTGGTTTGATTCGAATTTCGGATATATTTATGGTGCCTTTGGTGTATGCCATGTATCTACATTCAAGATGTGAAGCTATTTATCCTATTATGATGACAATATTCATGTTATATTCAGTTACATTCATTCCAGATATTGACTTATTGTGCCCTATCCAAGGATTTCTCAAAATTTCTGCATTTGATGCCAATTTTAGGGTATTTTACAGTGCCCAGGACATGTAGGTCTGAATTATTTTATATTCCTAAGGCTTCTATCAGCCGCTTCCACTTTTCCTTTGTCCTTTTCATAGCCTTTTTTTGTGCACGGTTTTACTACTCGTTCTTGATTTATATTTTCTTACTGTATATCCGATTACATGCGCTATACAATCAAGTCTTCGATAATGCGTAAAGAGGTAGCATTTTTTCAAATCTTAACATTTTTGTATATCGTATAGCTGTATCCTATTCTGCAGATATTGTATATTGTATAATTTGTTAGTATATTATTTTTTGTTGGAGTAATCGCCTTTGAACTATTTCTATATAGTCATTGGGTACATCCTAAACCTGGCAGACTTTGTAATATCTCCATGGTATCTTTAATAACGAGACATTGGGGAGATTTAACATGCTCTGGCATCTCCATATACCGGCTTTTTAGATGATTGCGATCGTATTGTAAGTTTGAACTGTGTTCACATTTTAAAAATTCGCCTCATGGATTCTTACTTACATTAATAAAGCTATCCAAAGGATACTGAAACTGCCAACAGCATTCAAACTATCTTTAATATTGTCCTCTCATCTAATTATCCTCATGGATACTTCCTTGCTCGTGCAACATCACAAGAGACAATGAAAAAGCAGTTTTTTTAAAATATAATTTTGATGCATTCATCTGGTGTACAGTCCTATGGTGGCGTTAACCAAGTATATGAACCACAATACTAGAGGTTCTTACACGTATTGATGTATGTATGTATATATA